TAGTAAGTGATTTTGAAGAGCTCAATGCTTTGAGGGTAGGTCTTAGGGCCTGGTTCTGATCTCAGTTACACGGGCGTAGCACCCCTTGACTTCAGTGAGAGTTGCCACCGTCTGAGGGCAGGATTTGGCCCTGACAGTATTTGTCCTCCAAATTACCAGCTCAGTTATTTTAAATAAAGCTCTATATTTTCCCCTCTTGCAGGAGATCTTGCTGCTGAACAGACTGTGTCTCTGAACCACAGTCTTTTCCATAGCAACAGGTTCTGATGTTAGAGTGTTAGATGACTTCATTGTGGTTTACCTACAGGAGGCAGTTCCTGTTTAAAATCCTCCACTTGACCCTTTGAATTTGGAGATGGCATTTGAGTGCTGTGTAGGAACACCAAGGGCTGAAATGGGGAAGTTCCTGGCTAGTAGCAGAGCCTGAGGGCAGGATTTAGAGAAAGTCAGCATCATGCTACGGTAATAATACCTAGCACCTGTGAAGTGCTTCACATTGTGCCAGCGGTGGTGCAAACCTGGGAGTGGCCTGGGGGCAAATCCCCCTGAATGTTGGGGAGGAACCTTCTCTGAACTTCAGAGCTGGTCAGTCCTCTCTGTTACATGGCGCCTACTCAGTGCTTCCGTCCCCTCATGCTTTGGGGAAGGATGACTCCCAATCTGGATTTGAACTTGACGTCCCAGGTCCACCTCTAATACGAACATGCGGGTCTGGATTGTGGTTGGGTGTGTGAGGAGAGTGAGTCTCCTCCCATCGGGCCCAGCAGAGAGGCCAGGCACAGTTGCAGTCCCTGGAGTGCGAATCCCCCAAAGGGGGCAGGGAGGAGATGGCTCAGCTCCATTCTGGGAATCTTTGAGCACAGGTGTGTTGTAAATGTGTGTTTTGATGAGCTACCGGCTGTGGCCCTGGTTTGTTACAGAAGCTGCTGCTAGCTCCCTCATAAGCATGTGGTAGGTTAGACCAGGGGCGGCCAACCTGAGCCTGAGAAGGAGCCAGAATTTATCAATGTACATTGCCAAAGAGCCGCAGTAATATGTCAGCAGCCCCCAATCAGCTCCCCCACCCCGCTCCCAGTGCCTCCCACCCACCGATCAGCACCTTCAGACCGTGATCATATGCGGTGTGCAGGAGGCTCTGGTGGGGAGGGGCAGAGAGCGAGGGCATGGTTGGCTCGGGGGAAGGGGTGGAGTGAGGGCAGGGCCTGGGGCAGAGCAGGGGGTGAGCACTGAGCATTCCCCGGCACATTGGAAAGTTAGCGTCTCTAGCTCCAGCCCCGGAGTCCGTGCCTATGCAAGGAGCCGCATATTAACTTCTGAAGAGCCGCAGGTTGGCCACCCCTGGGTTAGACCATCAGGTTGCTGGGAGTCTGTAATACACCCTGCAGAGTGGAATGTGCTGTAAGCATTTGTGTTTTTAACTCAATAGGGACAGAGTCCTGGGTGTCTCACTTCTTGCATGTAACCTCTTGTGCTCTGCCTAATGTCCTGGGCATTGTCTACTGTACCGTACTTCCCCTCCCTGTGCTGCCCTGTTTGTTCCTGTTTGTCCTGCTGATAGTCCAGCACTGTAGCAACATGCCAAAGTTTGTTCAGCTAATGTACAGAGGTTGCAGTAGAAAACAGTTATGAAAGGGTGAATCAAAATCTCTGGTGTAAGTGTCTCTGCCTGCTCTTGGGAAATGAGTTTTGCTTCCACTGACATCATTCAGATGTTTCCATTCTCTGAAAAGTCTTTCCTCCTCATATGCTACTGTCTAGTCTGAACAACTCTAAAGTTGACCCTAAGTATTCAGCGCAAGGTTCTTCTCAAACTTGTCTTGTGTCAGATTGTTACTCTGGGTTATGATTAACTTTAATCTGGGATCAGATTTTATTCCTGAGTGATGGTATGAGTCACATCAGCCCATGAAAGGGTTTCAGATTTACAGCATTCTTTTTCAAGTGAAGAGTTTATTTTCATAATACGAGTTAGGCGCTGTAATTAGAGGTACAACTTAAAGCAGAGGGAGAGATGACTTGCACAAAAATGGGGTGGAATTGAAAAATGTTAGGTCAGACCCTGGCCCCTGCTGCACCGGTGTTCTGTCACTATCCCAGTGTAGAGCCGCCATAAAACCAGTGCATCTGAGGGTTCGCCTGGCATAACAGCTTCTACACTCATCCTCTTCTGGCCCCTGGCATAGGGGGCAAGGGTGGGAAAACGGGAATCATCCTGCGGCCAAGTAATCTAGCTTTAGGACAGCTAAACATCAAATGAGGCCTAATTTTGTCCTTGCACTGCAGATCTGACTGACTGTTCTTGACTGTGCTCTTGCTTATGCCAGTGTAAATAAGAATTAATTCCACGGACATTTTAACAATGAGATTAGAACCCGGCCCATTGTATTCAGCCGAGAAGTCAAGTCCAAAGTGATAAGATTCTTCTTAGTTTAGTTTAGTATTAATTGACAATTTCTTAACAGTTAGTCAGCAACAGCCACCACTAATCAGATAAACTTTGTGTGATCGTATCAGTCAATAGACGCACCTATCAAGCAAAATTTCTGAAAGGCGGATGTGAACCCATCGAGCAACAGGTTTTTCTGTCTCTTCAACGCTTCCAGGACAGTATTGCAACATCTAAAAGACAGTGCAGAAAATGAGACAAGAACGTGTCTTGCCGGGAAGCCTCACCAGCAGGATAATTTATGATGTGGTTTGTTTTATTTCTCTCTCTCTGTGTTTTTGAAGTGAAGGTTTAAGATTTAAAAAGTTCCTTAGGTGTGTTTGACTTAATACTGTTCACCATGACCTGACCGGAGAACTGCAGCTACTGCACTTGATCGGCCTCCTCTTAATAAACAGGCGAAGAGTTTCAACTAAAAATAATGTGGCCAGCAGCAGAGCCTATTTTATTTTGCTAGCTTTTGCAGCAGAAGTGCTGTCAGCTCACATTTGCAAATGGTGTGGTTTCTCTATTACTTGTTACTCTTCCTGTGAGATTACTATAGCAAGCCCAGCATTAACAATGATCACTGAACCTAGACGTTTTTGAAAATATTTTTTTTCCTTTTTATATAAATGAGAATAATTATAAATAAGAATTAATCAAACCTCCTGCTGGTGAAAAGGGCTGCATTGTCTGCCTCAGAGTCCCCAACCCTTGACTGTAGCTCAGGAAAGGGAACGTGCTCACAGCTTTTTGAGCTTATTATAGCTGGAATGTGGCTTTGTTCTCATCCCGGGGGGCTACAAAACTTGAAAAATATTCTGTGCCCCCAGCAGCCAGGCCTGACGAAACCTATCATCCAGGAACTATGGGAGATGAAGTGCAGGGGCAATATCCTACTGAAAAACCCAGCTGTCTCAGCTGCTGAGAAGGTGCGATTCCTACCAGGATGCTGCTTAGGAACTCCACTTTTGTATCAGTCTCTGGGGTGTAGGGATCTAAAACATTTGAAGACCTTCTGTGGCTCCTGAAAGGGAGAAGGGGCTTCCTGTCTGCCTTCTCCACCCCATCCTGGAGCCTCGAGGATGTTGAGGGATCTGTGCTATTCTACCGTTCCCCCGAGAAGCCTGTCTGCTGTAAGCTGTATTTGTGCGTGGTTGGGTGCTGGTAAGGGGGTGGGCACTGTGCTACTCTATTCATCCTTCAGCCTCTGGTTTGGGATCCCCCCTGCTCCCAGTGAATGTGCACGTTGGTCAAAGATGTCTCAAGTAGCTGCAGATTGAAAGTGTCCTTATTCTGGTCAGTTTCACAGCCATCCACAAGGTCTACAGTATTTTGAAGAGCTGTTGTGAAACTGACCAGAGTCCCGTCAATGTTGCTTTGCGGTAGAAGCAGGAAGGCGGGGTACTATTGCTTTACATTCACTAGATTTTCTTCTCAACCACCATAAGTAAGGCTACGATTTACTCATGGGTATTTTTTGTAAAAGTCATGGACAAATCATGGGCAGTAACCAAAAATTCACGGCCCATGACTTGTACTATATACCTCTGACTAAATCTTAGTTGGGGGGCATGGCAGGGGCAGACGCTCGTGGGGGGGGCCCTGCAGCATCAGCTGCCAGGGGCCATCGAGACCAGCTGCCAGGGGCCCCCCAGGGCCATCCACCCGCTGTTGCTCCCGCTGCCCCTGGGACTGCTGCTCCGGTGGTCCCAGGGCCAGCCACACCGGCGGCTGCTCCGGGGGTCCCCGAGGCCAGCTACCCGGGGCTACCCAAGCGGCTGGTTGTGGAGCCGCTCCATCAGCCCCGTGGCAGCTGCTTGGGCGGCCCTGGGGTTAGCCACACCTGCCGCTGCAGAAGTCATGGAAGTCATGGAAAGTCACGGAATCCGTGACCTCCGTGACAGACACGGAACCCTAACCCTAAGTATTATAAACCGTTTTAATTTTTTGGTGAAGTGAAAGCTTACATTTGATAGAAAGGAAGGGCTCAGCCCCACCTTCACTTGACAGGGGAAGTTCTTCCAGTGGCTCGCATATTCCCACTTAGGGATATTGCACTGTCTAATGGTGCTGAACTGTCTCCAAGCAGCGTCTGAGGATGGGGCTATATAAGGGGGCGCAAGTGCCCTCTACCACCTCAGATCCTTCCAACTGCTGTGCCAGATGGAAGCGAACCACTCCAGTCGGTCGGGATCCGGGGTGTTCTCCATTCCTGGGGCTTGTGTGTGTGTGTGTGTGTGTGTGTGTGTGAATGCGAAGCTTGTTGCGCTGTGTCTGGTAAAGCGCTGTAGGCGAGCTGCACCAATAGCATGCACGTGGAACTCCTGTTCTGTTTCTCAGTTTGCGTCATGTGTCTGCACAGTGGTGGCTTGTTGTGAACCAAAGGTGTTGCCTTCTCAGAGAGTGAGGTCCTTTGCTTCACTGCACAGCAGTGGATCTCCTGGGATTGTTTTTGCTATGAATTGTGGGAAGTCAGGGGGCTTCAGATTTTTGAGAAATCCCATGTCTCCACCATCCTGTGCCGGCTAACGCCATTTTTGAATTGCTGTCGGCCAGCACGGACCCGGCAATGCTCTGCTCCGCTGTGGTGGTAGCTGTGATCACACGGAGTCTGCTTGGGGTGTATTTCAGCACTCAAAGCTGGACAATTTCGGCTTTGGAGACCACCTGTCACGTCGCTAAACGGGAGCAGCGGGAGATTCAGCAGTGGTGGAAGCAGGATGGGAGCATGGAGGAAGAGAAAGCCAAGCAGTTGGTACTAGAGGACCGGCTCCTGGATCAGCTACACACTATGCAGTGCTATTTCTGGGCTCTGGAGACCAATGTGGCTTGGTGTGAAAGGATTGTTCTGCGGACCTGGGATGACCAGCACTGGCAAGAGAATTTCAGGATGTTTTTTTTAAGTGATGTGTTGAACTGACTGCAGAGTTGCAGAGGCACCATCCCAATCTGTGCTCCCCCATACCTGGGTCACCATTGTCATCTGGAAGCTAGCCACTCCAGAGTGCCACCAGTTTGTGGCCAACCAGTTTGGTGTGGGGAGATAGACTGTTGGGGCCACTGTCATAGCCTTGGAAAAGATACTGTTGCACCAGGTTATAAAGCTGGGTAATGCTCAGAAAATTATTGAGGTTTTGCACCAGTGGGGTTCCCAACTATATTAGGCACATGGGTTCCATCAGTTGCCCCCTGTACTAGGGCACAGAAAGGGGAATTTCCGCAATGGTGTTCCAAGGGCCGGCTGACCGCCGTGGCAGGTTTACAAACATAAATGTAGGGTGGCCAGGAAGGGGCTGTGGTGCTTCAGCTGAGCTCTGAGAGACCCTATTTGCATTTATGGAGAAAAGATATTTATCCACAGGAACCCTATGGACATTAATGGTGGTGAGGTTTCTTTGGTTATACCCTGGCTTATCTTCTGCTTCCCTGGTTAACGACGCCATTTGTAGGCCTCTTGGACAAAAGGAAGGAATTTGCAGAATGGAAGTGGAGAGCACAGTTGGCCCGTGGAAAGGGAGATGGCGCTGTTTGTGGAATAGGTTCAAAAGCCGCTGAAAAAAACGGCGCTGCCCATTTATAGCAGCACATTGCATTCTGCGCAATATTTGTTGGACTAAGGGAGAAACCCTGCAAGATGAGTGGGAGTCCGAGGTGCAGACACTTGCTCGGCACTTTGAGCAGCCACCGAAAATAGAAAATGGAAACACCCAGGGGATGTTATTAGGGATGCCTGTTGTTCTCAAGTCTCCTGCCTGAAAATGTGCAGGCTTGCATCCAGCTGTTAGCCCGTGGAGGGAGGTGTTTGGGTCGATGGGGAGCTGTGTGGTGTAGCTTATGGGTGTTGGAAGTGGGACCCTGCCTGTGACTTTTCCCCTCCATATGAAGGAGCTTTTGGCTTCAGAGCAGCGATGAGTTATAATGGATGAATTTTAAGAGCCAACCAACAGTCATATAACCAATCAAAATAAAGTTTTGAATTGAACCAGTATTCAAACAACTGTTATTTGAAAATACACTTAACAAATCAAGCTGCCAACTGTGGAAAAAACATTAAAAATAGTGCAGCCAAAACCGAAAGTGCCGGGTATGGCAGAACAGCTAAGGGGGGTTAGAGTCAGAGGCGAGTATACGCCTTCGCTTTGCCTCTTCTTGTCTGCAGGGCTTCTGGGGTGGAGAGTCACCCGCCAGTTAGCAGAGCCAGGGGTCAAGCCAGAGTCAGAACCAAGAATCGAAATGAAGGGTCAGAGCTGAGGTCAGATGCCAAAGGCCAAGGCAGGGTCATAAGGCTGGGGCCAGAGAAAGGTCTGGCCACTGAGGATTGGAGGCATTGGAGGCAAAGTGTAAGGGCAGGAGGAGGAACAAAGGCCGGGGTGAGGCAGGAGCCAGCAGGAATCAGGAACAGGTTTGGATGCAGGAAGCAGCCACAACAGGATACCACCTGGTTGCTTGGACAAACTTACTTCCTGTGTCTTCTCCTGGCTTAAACAGCGTGGTTGGACCAATTGGTGGAGCCGGGCGATCCTCCAATCAGAGCTCCCGTGGGTGGTGCCTTGGCTGGGGCTATAGTCCTAGTCGTTTCTCAGCCCACCAGATATCAGTAGGCTTTGGGTGATGGCCAGGATGTAGCGGCTATCTTGAGACTCCTAAGCCTGGGTTCAAGACCAGGGACGTCACATAGTGGACATCTGCTTTGCAATGTGTACAAACAGGTCTTTATGCTGGTGGCAGGCCACAAGAGCTTACTACACCGATTACTTCTTCCCAGATGGCAGTGAGCTCCAGGATCTTAGCACGGCTCCAAGCAGCAGCACCAGGTGTGCTGTGGGGGTTGTGGAGTAGAATTGCTGTAGTGTCACAAGATTGCTGATACGCTTGAATCCAGGAGCAAATGGCCAAAATCTGGCTCCATGCCAGCTTTTAAATGGGGGAAGGGTTTGTCCTGGGAACTTGACACCAAGGCAGGGGAGGGCACAGGATGTAAGCAGGTCAGTAATGGTCGACTGCAAAGCCATGTGGGATAGCTATTGGAGGCACGCAGTGATGCCAGCTGTTGCTTGCACACGAACAACAGTGCAAACTAATTCAGTTGTCCGCGAACTTGGTCCACTTCACAAGAGGAGTCCAGATTTCAGGTGAAGTGCAGAGTTAATGCGCTGTGACGCATTGCATCATTGGTAGGCCTCATGTTTTAGAAGCGGATTAACTCTATTTGTATGGTTCAAAACCCCCATGTAGACAAGCCCTTAGTGTCTTGATAATGGTTGTGTAGTTACAGTTGAGTGATCAGTGCAGGTAGTTAAGTGAGGTAGTTCGCTCGATTCCATGTTATGGTGGCGCTGAAGAAAAAGAAGACGCTGAGAGATGTACTTTATGTACGTTAGGTGCCTGAAGTGCTTGGGACAGGGCATTCTCCTTCTGGATGTTCTATCTGCTGGACTTTCACGCCCAGAGCTCCCGAGGAGAGGCAGAATGGATTGCAGGTGCTTCTCCTTAAGGGCCTCTTGAGGCTAAATCCACCCGGTTCTGGGCACAGGCTGGATCCAAGGTCCAAGAAGCCAGTCTTGCTGGTGATTGCCACCGGCTGAGTGGATTTTCCGAGCCCTGTTCTCAAACACTGCTAAAAATAAGGGCAAAACATTTCTACCAGCTAGAAGAAAAACAGTGGGGTTCCCTTTAAATGAAAGTGGGAAGTGGATATCTATGTCAGACCCTGAAGAGGAGACACAATGGAATATGAACGCGTTTTTTTTTTTTTTTTGGCAAGGAGGAAGGATATTTCCTGCTTTTGATTTTTTTTTTATCCGTACGTCTCCAAGTTTATATAAATCTTACAATAACAATTGGGTTAATGAGATTTCTGAGTCTGACGGAGTTGTCTTTTTACTCTTCATTGAATTAATGACTGTTAAATGCTTTCTGAGCTGTGCCCTTTTAATGTATCAGGAAACTCCTACACTTTTGCTGCCCAACAAAAAGCTTTCCTTTATTATTATTTTTAAAGGCACAGTGAACTTTTTGTGGTTGCTTTGAGAATAAAGGGCCAGATTTTCAGACATTTGTCCATTGAAGTAACTGACCTATGCCAATTTATACCACCTGAAGATCTGGTCCAGAGTGTTTTATGATTGTTCTGTATTCATCTGACCTGCCATATATATAGGTTTTAAAAAAAGGAGACTCACAGCCAGCCACTTTCCATTAGAAGAGGCATCACTGTTGTCAGAGGCATCATTCCTGAATTTTATTTTGATCAGGTTTTAAACAAAGAGGTTTCTGAAGTCCGCAATGGTATCAGAAAGTACTGACAATGATAAAACCACTTCCTGCTTTCATCTGGTGGCCTGGGTTTGATGGCACCGGTTCTTTGCCGGTAGGGACAGAGTCTCTTGCCTGCACTGGTGTTGCTTGGATGTAATTAAGGGCTGCAGAGGAGAGGAATTTAGGGTTTCATCCAGTGTCTGTTGAAATCGATGGAAAGATTCCTATCCATTTCAGTGGTGCTGGAGCAGTTCCACAGTTAATTCTGTTGATGTATGGGCGAGAACATAATCCATCTCCCTTTTCCCCCGTAGTGATGGCTCACAAAGCCTGATGGGAGTAAAAAGTTGTAAAATTGTACCTTTATTTTAAAAAAAAATGAAGTTGGGAGATATGACTCTGAATGCACACAGGGAGCAGAACTGCGGAGGTGTCATTGTCATGTATTCACTTTTAAACACTAGAACCATGTGTCAAGTGGTGCTTAGGGCCTGCTGCTTGGGGCTGGATTTTATTTTGATCACAGCTGATTTTGATGGACTGTGGATTTTTGACCAGGAGTGTTGATGATCAGATTGTTTGTTGTTCTATGAAATTACAAGGAAAATATTGCAGAGCAGTGGTTTACAAGCTGCACAATTTATTTTTGTGTGTAGTGATTTGTCACTAGAAAGTAAACAGTCCATAAACTGCAGGCCTAGTCAAACGCGAAGTCATCATGTAAATGAAGGAAGAAGGCCCAGTTCCTTCTATAAATGTACTGTGGTTTTGTTGAATGTCCTAACATTTTCATCACCAGAGTGGTGCTGGAAATGTTAGAACTGTAACATGATGCAAAACACGTTCTCCTTTTGATTATGCAACGTTGCCAATGCTTACGATTTTTATTGCCAGTCTTGTGATATTTGGTGTTTTCTGTTGAAACCTCAGGTACTGGACTCAAGAGACTGCATGTGAATCTCAGATCTCATTTTTTTAAAGAATTGCGTTTCTAGCCTTCTTAGATATGGAGGTAGTTAGATAATACGAAGCAAGTGCAGCTTAAAGGCTTAGAAATCAGAAGGCAATTGAAAAGAACTCCCAAAATACATTTTGTAAAACATCTCTTGATTTGTATCTTATGATTTTTTGGGTGCCTGACTCCTGATTTTTGAATGCTTGCAATTGGTAATACTGATTGTTAAACAGAAGAGATGGGGTTAAGCTGTAAAGTCTGGAACTGGATTCAGGTCAGATCTCAAACTTTCCCAGTGTTTGTGGTAGTTTAATATTTTTGTTTCCGGTTTGGGGCGTTACAGAGATAGTCCTGACTTGTGATGTTTGGATTACCTGAATCTGAACTTTCCCAAAATCTAGGATGGGAGGTGTGGATGTTTGCAGCCTTTTGCCATAACATGGAGGGCGAAAACATTGATGTTAATGGGGTCAGGATTTCACCAGGAAATTTCAGTGGCATTTGGAGTCTCTTTTGCAAAGGTTTTGAGGTTTATTTTGGGGGGGGGGGAATCTCTCTTTTAAAAATAGCCTCTACTGTAATATTACTTTTTAGCAACCCATAAGAGAAAGCAAGTTGTTATTAATATACACAAGGACAAGGGATAATGAAGATACAGAGATAAGATACTTAAACATGCCTGAAATGACTGGCTTTAACTTCTCTTCAAGAACTACAACATGCATCTGCTAGAACATAGGACAAGCTTCTGCCCTGGCTGCAACTCCGTGGGGTGTAAGTTAGGACAAAGTCTGGCCCATGCTACTCCACAGACAGAGATGGCCTCGGCTTCCTCTATCTGCTGGGTCATGCACACAACAGCAGATTGAAAAGAAAGCTGGCTGCAAATACATTAATTCTCTAGTGCTATATCTTAAATTTCTACGTTATTATTTATTTGTTTTGAGCTTGCAGCTAAAAGCCCCAGTGAGGGGTCTGTACACACATACAATGAGTTTGAGACAGGGAATGTCTCAAACGGCTGTTAACCTTTTATTTTTCCTTTATTAAAAAACCCAAAACGCACCAACAACATGAAGGGTCATAATATGCTTGCATCTGACAACTTTTCCTTTCTTTTTCCTAGAACTATTCATTGCCTTATACGAGGCAGACCCCGGAGTGCAAAGACCCAGACTCTGAATTCTTTGAAGAAAACATTAATAAATGTTGCAGCAAATGTCCTCCAGGTAATGGATTTAGGTTATTTATGACTATTACTGTGTAAGGCTAAATTCATCTGATTTCTGGATAAATGTGGTGCGCCTGTATCATTGAGAGAGCCAAAGCAGCCGCCGATTTTTGCTGCTTTAATATACTCCCAGCCGTAAGACCTTGTATTGTTGATCCTGGGACTGCAAGACACATTTACTGCAGGGCCTGGAGCCAGTTGCCTGAATTACTTCTGGCCAGGGTTTACCAAAGGGTTCACCCAGTTGGCTGAACCTTTGAATGAGTCTGGCGCCAAAGTGTTATCTTGCATGATTTGGATCCCATGCCAGCTGCAGGGTGGCAGATTCAGCTGTTTCCTGGTGAGGCGTGGGGTTTCTTGGGAATTTGCTAGGTTCTTAAAAGTGAACAGATGCAGTTTCACCTGCCAATTTTTTTGAGCATAATCTTTTTATTAAAATATTTGTAAAAATGTATTTTCATACAAGGAAAATAACATATAAAACTAATTAAACCACCAGCACTGAATCCTTGCCCCCAATTTAACATTATTAGCCAATGTCAGCCCGAGTACAGTAATAGCAAATACACTGTTAATCCCTGCGTGGGGTACAATTTAGTATTTGCAAAATATTATTAGGTACAATCTAGCTCTGGGTAGATTCAGTTATTCTATAATTGTTCATTATGGAGTTAGATGCCTTTTTCCTATGAAGCATCTAGTGCTGACCACTTTCAAAGACAGACCACATGGACCACTGATCTGATTTGCAATGGCTTTTCCTATTGTTCCCAATTACGCCTACTAAGAAATGAGGCAAGTTACTAATGTCAAGCCAGGCCTACACTTATACTCCAATGATCTTTTGTAGTGACATCTTGGTAAGTATTTATTGAGCTTTTGGTTGCAGGTGAAGACATTTTAGTTGCTGGTTGTTGTAATTGCCCACCAAGTATTTTGATCATATAGAGATAAAGCCCCGAGAGAGCTCAGAACTTTGGGTACGCTGTCGTCAAAGAGACGAACCATCAGAGTTATTCTTACTCCCCTGGCATTTACCTCACAACATGCTGAGCAAATGTTCTTTGTCTCTCTAAGTGCAAAGTTCCTGTCGCAGAGATTTGGATGATTAAGCAGGAAACGAGCATGTGCTGAAGCAGCCTAAGTGGCTCGAATTGACCAAAAATGTCAAGACTTAACATCTGGGTTTCCTGTGTTAGAAATGCAATGGAGGAAAAATGTCATGATTCATAATTAAACCTTCACACTCTGGCAGTAAATAGCGATCAAGCTCCAGTGGCACCTTCTCCCCTTTATTATAATATTTCACAATAACAAGCCCAGGATTTGGGGCAATGCATAGGAAACTGAAAGTCTCTGTAGTTGTCGATATTTGTGAAGTTGAACGGAAGGGTTTTTCATGTTGATTTATTTAAAAAAAAAAAGCCCAGATTTTTAAAGGTATTAACTCATTTTTGCCGTCAGCATTGCACAGCCTAAGTGATTTAGGAGCCTATGCCACATTCTCCCCCCAAGGGATTTAGGCACTTCAGAGCCTAAGTCCCTTGAATCGTCAATGAGATTTAGGCTCCTAAATCAGTAAGGCGTTACAGTGCTGAGCGCAGTGGTGCCTAAATGCCTTTTAAAAATCGGGGCCTAAGAACCTAAATCATTAACAGGATACATGGAGCCAAATTAGAAATTATAGATAAAATATATTTGAAAACCAAATATTTGGAAATCATTTCCTGTGTCACTTAACTGCCAGGGCCTGGCTTCATGGTTCCCTGTGACTCCAGTACATCACTAATCCCTAAAATGAGGATTCTCAAAGGAGGGGCCAAAACTAGCTATGAAGGCTTTCTTGGCAGGGCCTCATTGTTCCTCTCATTGAGCAAGCATGTCCTCCAGCGTGTTCCTGTATGCCATGCTCCTATACCAGATATGGACTGGCTACAGAGCCTCCCTGCGAGTGATACACACCAGATGTGTTCAGTATAAAATCCTTCAGTGCTCTGTCTGTATGGCTGAGTTTAGCTGAAATAAGGTACAGTAGAGCCTCGAACTGACCCGTCAACCACATCCCTCGTATGGAACCAGAAGTACGCAATCAGGCAGCCGCAGAGACGACAAAGCAAATACAGACTGTTAGACAGTGTTAATACGGACAGTGTTAAACGTAAATTACTAAAAAAATAAAGGGAGAGTCTGAGAGATTTGACAAGGTAAGGAAACGTTCTGTGCTTGTTTCATTTAAAGTAAGAAGGTTAAAAGCAGCATTTTTCTTCTGCATAAACAACGAGGAGGCCTTGTGGCACCTTAGAGACTAACACATTTATTTGGGCATAAGCTTTTGTGGGCTAGAACCTGCTTCATCAGATGCATGGAGTGAAAAATAAAGTTTCAAAGCTGTATTAAGTCAATGCTGAGTCTTACCACCTCCATTCCTGAGGTGCTGGTAATGCTGCGGTTCTACTGTATGCCACACACAACACCACCTAGTGGCTAACTAGTATAATACAATTTAGCATTTCATTTCATCTCCCTTTAAGTTCTACATTCCTACCATTTTACAAAATTTACTCTATCCCACTGGTTTTGAAGTTCAATATGGAACAATCTGTTAAGCGTCTCTGAGTTGTGTTGGTTTTCTAATTACATGTCCTGAATGCATAGCAACTTCGTCATCTGGCGATTCATTAGCTGCAATGACTGCTGTGGTCTGTTTCGAATCCTTGAGTCGTCTTGTTCTGCATCTGCCATCTGTAGAGTTGGCTCTGTTGATTGTTCTTTCTGAGGAACAGACTGTAGATGTCAACAGTTTCTGTTGAACTCTCCACTGTCAGTCTTGATTACATATGATCTGACCTGATTTTTTTTTTTTTTTTTTTTGACAGCTGGAAATGTCCATTTCCCCCTGCCCCCTTTCTTCCCCCCCAGATTGAGAGGAACGCGGTTACCAGGTTCTAGACTTGGCAGTTCTCTAATGAGTGACATCTGTTGTAAAAGTGTTTGCAAGCTGTCTTAGCCTTTTGTATCCAATTTCGCTACCTCTTCACGTCTGGCCCCTTTGGAGATAGATTCTTTCCCAAAGTTGGAACAGTAGTTTTGAGCTGTCTTCCCATCAGGAGGTGTGCTGGACTATATGCAGTAGCAGCTCTTGGTGTTGATCTGTAGCTCAGAAAAGGAAGGAAGGAATCTTCCCGCTGTAGGATTTTATTGGCTGTCTGTACAGCTCTCTCAGCCTCTCCGTTTGCTTGTGGGTAATGTGGGCTACTAGTAATATGATCAAAATCATATTTTGTTTGGAATGACTCACATTCTGCTGCAATGAATTGTGATCCGTTTCCCATGACGAGTTGTTCTGGAATACTGAAGTGAGCAAAAGGGCACTTTAGTTTTCTCAGCAACACTGCAACATGTTATATCTTTCAAGTACGTTATTTCTATTGGAAAAATAGTCCACGATGACCAGGTAATGATGTCCTCTGAATTTGCATAAATCTGCGGCTAGTCTCTTCCAAGATCTCTCTGGTGGAAGTGTTGTTATTAAAGGTTCTTTGTGTTGTGTTGTGTTGGTGTGTTAGTTCTGCAATGTTTGCATGCACATATTTCATTCTTTGTCCTTGCTGATGCCCAGCACAATATCGTCTGGTTGGCTGTTCACAGTATTTAGTTAATCCTTAATGTCCTTCGTGGATGAGGTTTAGGATTTCTCCTTTCATTTAGTTTAGAATTACGATGCAATTGCCTTTATTCATGTGTCCATTTGACTTGCTTAATTGTCTACGCACTGCAAAGTAGCCTCTTGTCATTTCCTTAGCATCCTTTAGATACTTGGGCGAGCCAGCTCCAGTGTAACTTAGAACTTCCTAAACTTGCATGTCTGCCAAGGCTGCTTTTTGTAGCTGGTGTAGTCCTTTTCTGACACTGGTCTGTATGCGTTCACAGCTTCCATGTACACCGTTACAGCATCTTTGAACTCACGGGTAGTTGAGTGCAAAGCTGCGCTCCGTGACAGAGTTCTGCAACGACCAGATTTTGCCCCAGAACTTATTAGCAATTGGGTTAAATCTCATTAACCTTATTGATAGACGTTAGCATCTTAGTGGTGCTTGATCCAGGACTTTTCCACTGATGAGGGTTACAGCAGTTTATGGTGTGTCGTCAGTGTAAACGAATCCAGTCCACACAGATAGCTGTAAAAGTTCTCCCGTGTCCATACGTTTGCCAGGCACTCCTTTTCAATCGGTGCATATTCTTTTTCTGCTTCTGTAAGTGTGCAAGAGTAAAATGCAACTAGCTTCCACTCAGAGCTGTGATGTGGCAACAATACCGCACCTAAGCCATTGCTGCCTGCATTGGCACTGACCCCGATTGTGGGTTTGTACACGTCATAGTACTTGAGAACTGGAGCTGTTGAGATCATTTCTCTTACCTAGTTGAAGGCAATGTCTTGATTTCCCTTTTTCCCCCCTCGGAACCAAGATGTGTTGGACTTTAACAGTTCATTCCGTGGTTTTGTCACTGTAGAAAGCTCTTGCAGGTTTTGACTAAGGTAATTTACCATGCCCAGTACATGTTTCTGTTCTGGTATATTCACTGGTGCATTCAGTTCTTGAATTGCTTTTACTTTCTCAGGGCTAGGACTGATTCCATCTTTTATTGTCTGTCCCAAAAACTTCATTTAGGGTAGGTGGAAAACGCACATTTCCATGTTTCGTTTGTGTCTAGACTGACTTATTAGCCCTTAGGACTTTGTTGATGGTTTCATTGTATTCTTCCATCGAACAGCCATACGGCAAAATATCATCCATGAAAACTACAACTCCATTTGTGTTCATTAACAGTTCTGCCATCTTTCTTTGGAAAATTTCAGGTGCACTGGTAATCCCCAAAAATAATCTTTTGAAAGCAAAATCTCCCAAAGGGTATGATAAATGTAGTTGGTTTAGCACTTTCTAGGGCTAAAGGGATTTGCCAGAATCCGCTCAAGGCATCCAGCTTGGAGAATATTGTAGCTCCTTTCACTTTGGAGAGGAAGACATCCAATGTTGCGAGGATATGTTGTTCTCTCACAACTGCGTCATTAAGTCTTTTCAGTTCCACACAGATTTGTATTCTCCCATTTTTCTTTATAACTGGTACCACTGGGGCACATCTTGCTGTTGGCTCAGAGATTGTCTCCATTATGCCAATCTGCTGCATTCTCGTTAACTCAGTTTCCACTTTAGGAAGTACTGGGCTAGGAATCCTCTGAGGTGTATGTACACTGTATGGTTCAGCATTGTCTTTTTAAGGTTATTTTTACTGGATCTCCTTTCAGAAGTCCAGTATCACCAAATATTCCATCCAGTTCTTCCACCTCTCTCACATGGCTGCCATGCTGTGGCTGAGATGGCTGTTGGTCCAGGGCCGGCTCCAGGCACCAGCTTAACAAGCAGGTGCTTGGGGCGGCCACTCCGGAGGGGGGCGGCACGTCCAGCTATTCGGCGGCAATTCGGCGGGAGGTCCTTCACTCCGAGCCGGAGTGAGGGACCCTTCGCTGAATTGCCGCCGCAGGGCGCGATCGCGGCTTTTTTTTTTTATTTATTTATTTGGGGGGAGGGGCTGCTTGGGGCGGCAAAAACCCTGGAGCCGGCCCTGTGTTGGTCTGTGATCCTTTTGATCACACGCACTCTGAATGCAAAGGTTTTGTCTTTGGCTTAAATTCTTTGCTAAATCAGTGCTTTCATATTTGTAAGGTGCTTTGAGATCCTTGAAAAGTACCAAATATTTGTATTACACAGCATAGATCATCAAACTCTGCCCTTGAGTAAATGTTTGCAACTCCTACTTAAATCAATGGGACTTGAGTATATTTATCTGTGGATCTGTGGTAATTCTAAGATACTTATCAGCTTGGTATCCAAGTGCCATACAAAAATAAGAAGTATCTTAGGTCAGAGTTTGGTGCAATATTTAGGAACAAGAGGATGAGGAGTTGAGGTTGCTGTGGCATTTCTTCGCTTGTATCCTTTAATGTCTCCGTCTCACCATTATTTTAACATCTATGTTGTGGTTATCAAAACTTCTTCATGTTTCTTTTAATCAACGAGCAAACAGGATGATGATGAAGGGAAATCGGTGCCACAGCTATGAACGAAACTTACCAGATGCAATTCCTACTGAGTCATTCCAAGCAGACGTTTTCATTGTTTATTTTGCAGGTTACCGTGTGTTTCAAAGCTGCAGTGGCAGTGCTGACACAGAATGTACACCGTGCGAGAGAAACACGTATACGGCGCTCTGGCACAGAGCTCGGCGCTGTCTTGCCTGCTCACCCCGCTGCAATACCGGTATGTCGAAGTGATTGCCTGGGATGCTTATCCCTTTGCCGGCTCTGTGTTGTTTTAGGGATGCTGACAATGAGAAGATAGATCTAAATGATACTCTAGAGGTGAAACTCACCTCTGTGTTGAGAGCCTACACAAAGGTGCCTGTGCACCGCTTAAGTCTCACTTCAGCTCTGTTGTGAAGGCAGCCGTGGCGCGTAGGCTTTGCACTGGGCATCTGCTCAGAGGTGAAGTTCATTCTAGATGAATAGCACAATCTAGAAGGAATTTATTACCTAGAAATGGTACTAGTGGTCTGCTCCTAGGCCGGTCTGGTGTCCGAGGGAGAGCCCTGGTGCTGCACTAGGATCATCTGAGCGGAGCCTCGGGGCCCCTCCTGAACAGCACTGTGACCCCCCAATGCGGCAGGTTGCAAGGCCCCTCACTCAGTTTTGCCCCCACCCTCTTGCCCTGGCTGCCCAACGGCAGTGCTGAGGAGCAGCAGCACTGCCCACTCAGGTTTGGCTCCATGGCCTCTCCATCATGATGGGCGGGGCCAAAACTGAGTGAGTGGCATTGCCACTTGGCGCACAGGGGCCGCAGTGCTGATCAAGAGGGGCTGTGGGGCCGCGTGCCTGCTCCCAACCTGAGTGGGCCATGGAGCAGCTGACGCTTCTCCTCCTTCCCGCTGCTGTGAGGCCAGCTCCTACACCAGGGCTCCTCCCCGGGGGCCTGCCCAGCCTCATCCCACTTCCAGCAACTGCTGAGCCCTCAGGACTCGCTCAATGACAATCTCAAGACTGCTACAACTATGGGGAGCGGTGGTGAGGTCCCGTGCAGGGGAGCCCAGCCAGGAGAGGGGCAGTGGGGAACCCTGACGAGGGTTGGGGGAGGACATGAGGGGGTTCAGCTATGTGTACCATGTGAAAAATGTCTGGGTGGCCCTTTCAAAGCACCATTTTAAATGGTATATTTTCCTCTCTCCGTGAGGTATATTTTCAGCTGTTCTGGGTCCTGTCCTCTCTTTATATTGAAAACTGGGTAATCAGAGGCCCAAGAGCTTAGATTTATGGCTGCAGTTCAACTGTGGGGATCCACATCTAAGTGCAAATTTTGCAAATGCAAATTGTGCTGGTACAAGGGAGGTCACTCTTCAGAAAATGTGCACACAACGGCAAAACTCATCACAAAATCTCTTCCTTTGAAGAGGAATCTAAGCCTGCTGGTCACCTGCTGCAAAATAATTGACCTTCACTTGCATTCTGTACTGACAGTAGTGAGGACTGTCACTTTAATTCTTCCTTATAGCATCACAACTTGCTTTATTGTTTTTGGCATTAGGATTCGTGCAGACTCAAGAATGCACAAGGACCCAAGACCGAATCTGCAGCTGCCCAGCCAACACCTACTGTGCTTCAAACAAAAGTCACGGTCGCTGCCTGGTTTGTAAAGCACACAAGACATGTAGAAAAGGCTATGGCGTTTCCAAACCAGGTAAATTAAGTTTGAATGAGCAGTTTCCATGTACCAAGAATTATTGGATGAAGTGTGAGTATTTTTGCTACTTGTCTGCCCATAAAAATAATTGCTGATCCACCCTGCACACTATACATTACAGAAATATTTTCCTCCGATCGCCTAAATTACTTTCTTAGGTATTTCTAGTGCACCCATCATAACAGTGTCTATGCACCAAATACAGCATTAAGAGTCACAATAGAGTTGTCTGGGTGGGGGAAGGATATATGGTCCCCTCTTCTCACAGTTGCGTGTTTCAGTAAAGCTCTCCCTATCTCTCTCCACTCTTTGCTTTATTATTTTGCTCTGTTTTGTGATTTGCTCCATGTGTGTGACTCATAGAACCATAGAACTGGAAGGGACCTTGAGAGGTCATCTAGACCAGTCCCCTGCACTCATGCCAGGACTAAGTATTATCTAGAGCATCCCTGACAGGTGTTGTCTAACCTGCTCTTAAAAATCTCCAATGATGGAGATTCCACCACCTCCCCAGGCAATTTATTCCAGTGTTTAACCACCCTGACAGTTAGGAAGTTTTTACTAATGTCCAACCTAAACCTCCCTTGCTGCAATTTAAGCCCATTGCTTCTTGTCCTATCCTCAGAGGTTAAGAAAAACAATTTTTCCCCCTCCTCCATGTAACAACCTTTTATCATGTCCCCTCTCAGTCTTCTTTTCCAGACTAAACACACCCAATTTTTTCAGTCTTCCCTCACTGGTCATGTTTTCTAGACCTTTAATCATTTTTGTTACTCTTCTCTGGACTTTCGCCAGTTTGTCCACATCCTTCCTGAAATGTGGCACCCAGAACTGGACACAATACTCCAGTTGAGGCCTTATCAGCACGGAGTAGAGCGGAAGAATTACTTCTCGTGTCTTGCTTACAACAGTTCTGCTAATACATCCCAGAATGGTGTTCACTTTTTTTGCAACTGCGTTACACTGTTGACTCGTATTTAGCTTGTAGTCCACTATGACCCCCAGATCCCTTTTCTCAGTACTCCTTCCTAGGCAGTCATTTCCCATTTTGTAGGTTTGCAACTGATTGTTCCTTCCTAAGTGGAGTACTTTGCATTTGTCCTTATTGAATTTTATCCTGTTTAGTTCAGACCATTTCTCCAGTTTGTCCAGATCATTTTGCATTTTAATCCTATCCTCCAAGGCATTTGCAACCCCTCCCAGCTTAATATTATCCACAGACTTTGTAAGTGTACTCTCTATGCCATTCTCTAAGTCACCGATGAAGATACTGAACAGAACCTGACCCAGAACTGATCCCTGCGGGACCCCACTTGTTATGCCCTTCCAGCATGACTGTGAACCACTGATAACTACTCTCTGGGAATGGTTTTCCAACCAGTTTTGCACCCACCTTATAGTAGCTCCATCTAGGTTGCATTTCCCTAGTTTGTTTATGAGAAGGTCACGCGAGACAGTATCAAAAGTTTTACTAAAGTCAAGATTTACCATGTCTACCTCTTCCCTCCTCCCCTCCCCCACAAGGCTTGTTACCCTGTCAAAGAAAGCTATTAGGTTGGTTTGACACATTTTGTTTTTGACAAATCCATGCTGACTGTTACTTGTCACCTTATTATCTTCTAGATGTTTCCAAATTGATTGCTTAATTATTTGCTCCATTATCTTTCCAGTTACAAAACTTAAGCTGACTGGTCTGTAATTCCCATGGTTGTCCTTATTTCCATTTTTATAGATGGGCACTATATTTGCCCTTTTCCAGTCTTCTGGAATCTCTTCTGTCTTCTATGACTTTTCAAAGATAATTGCTAATGGCTCAGATATCTCCTCAGTCAGCTCCTTGAGTATTCTAGGATTTCATCAGGCCCTGGTGACTTGAAGACATCTATCTTGTCTAAGTAATTTTTAACTTGTTCTTTCCCTATTTTAGCCTTTTCTAAGCCTACCTCATTTTCACTGGCATTCACTGTTAGATGTCCAATCACCACCAACCTTCGTGGTGGAAACCGAAACCTTTCCACATTTTCTGTTATTTTCCCCCCTCCTCCCTCCCATGAGTAACGGGCCTACCCTGTCCTTGGTCTTCCTCTTGCTTCTAATGTATTTGTAGAATGTTTTCTTGTTACTCTTTGTCTCTAGCTAGTTTGATCTCATTTTGTGCCTTGGCCTTTCTAATTTTGTCCCTACGTACTTGTGTTATTTGTTTATATTCATCCTTTGTAATTTGACTTAGTTTCCACTTTTTGTAGGACTCTTTTTTTGATGTTTAGATCATTGAAGATCTCCTGGTTGAGCCAGGCCGGTCTCTTGCCATAGTTCCTATCTTTTCTACACAGTGGGATAGTTTGCTCTTGTGCCCTTAATAATGTCTCCTTGAAAAACTGCCATCTGTCTTCTATTGTTTTTCCCCTTAGACTTGCTTCCCATGGGACCTTATCTACCAACTCCCTGAGTTTGCTAAAGTCTGCCTGTTAGCATTAGGCCTGTATGCTGCTCAAATCCCACTTATGATCTCAAAACAGGGCGTAGGGTTGATTTAGGTGAAGAATAAATCTTGTGGTGGCCCACTGCACAGTGTACACGAGTGAATTTCACCCTGCTATAGATGATTCTGCATTTTCCTAGGATCCTATGACCGTGTAGCTGTCTCGAGATGGCTTAAAAATCTCGAACAGGTGAATTTATTTCTGCAATCCTGTTTTCAGTGGGAGTTCTTCCTGAGTCAGGATGGAGTAAAAATGACAATATTGTAGTTTCCACACAGGTATCATGTCACCCATCAGTAAAATGTAGCCACATCTTGGGTGGAAGATGGCAGTCACAACTGTTATTACATTTATTTATAAAGTGCCTATTACCATGGTATCTGCAAAGCAACACTACCCTGTGGTTCAGGACAAAAAGTGAAGAATACCTAACACGATAAAAAATTCAGGGGAAATTTTAGATTAGTCAACTGTAATTACTAAGGAGAAGTCATGTGGCCAGGACTCTGGGGCTAACACACTTATCTTGTCAAAGCTTCCAGGGGATGTTTAATGAGCCCAACCTGAGAGATGGCACATCCAGCAGCACAATGCCCCTAAAACCATATTGAATATTTTAATATTCTTTTAGGGCGAAATTCATCCCTGTGCAGAGGGCCAGCTCAAGGCCTATGAATGACTTAAGTCCTGTTTTTTGAATGATTAAGTGATATGTGAGCCTTGTGCTGTCTCTGCACAGGGAAGAAATTTCATTCTTAATGATTGAAATGTTAATGTTTCTAGAATGGCGACATTCATTATTTTTAATAGTGACTTGCACTATAGTGCCTTCCGTGTCTGCTGCTGCGTGTTTTGCTGTGGGCTGCATTGTTTTAAGTGGCATTGAAGTATGACTGTGGGATGTAGTACATGACTCTTAAACTGTACGTTCCCCAGCAGCTTCGTATTGCAGAGCTTTTGTTTCATTCTGTAACCTTCCTTCCTCGTGCCAGGCAGTGGAAAGGGCTTGTGGTTATGATCCTGTCTCTACTTGTGAAATATGCGTCCTCCAAACACTATTTGGATTGCATCAAGGTTTAGATGGTATTTTAAATTTTGTGCCTACGTTCATTGGCCCCAGAATGGTGGTGAATATACTGATGTGAAGAAAAAGCATCATACCCAGAGGCTGCTGGAGAGTGGGGACTAATTTTTTACGGTTGCCAACCATTGCAGTCCTTATTCAAGTAAAACTCCATTGACTGGATTAGGAGTTTTGCCTGATTAAGGATTGGCAAAGACTGCAGGGTTTGGCTTTTAATGCCATGTTTTAACTGTTCCAGTTGATTCCAAGTAACCCTTTGAAAAAATACCGTAGCCCTCAAGGGCATAGAAATAACAGCCCAATTAATCTTTCCTTCTGTAACTGGGCAGCATGTGGGATGCTTGGCTGGGAGGCTGTCAAAGCTAGCGCTTTTGTTTACGGTCTCCATAACATTTCCAGGATCTGTATGACCCACCTAAAACTTATGATTCACTTGGCATTTCTCAACAAGTGACTAACTGGCAACATTTGGAAATATTTGTTTAAAGGAACGAACATTACGAATAAAGACTGTTTCCCCTGCCCCCCCGGCACTTTTTCAGATGAAGAATCCTCAACTGCCTCCTGCAAACCGCACAGAGTGTAAGTTCCCGATTTGCCCTTTCTCATTTAACAAGACATCAGCCTGTAATTGTGTCCGGGGGTGGTTTTGGTTTTAAACCCTCCTCTTGTTTCTTGCAGCTGTCAATCAGTGTCTGTTGAAGGAAGCAGCACAAGTGACACCGTCTGCAGTGACTCCGAGGTAGATGTGGCTGTCATAGCGACATCTCCTCACACCACCACACCCAGCACTGGCCAGCTTACAGCAGAAAGCTCCGTTTCTGGAACCAACGAAATAAAAACCAATGCCGTCCAGCGAGGCCTTTCTCCTGATGTGTCTCAGACCATTGGTGAGCTATTGATTAAGTTCACGTTTTTTCTGTTCAGGAAGTGAGGTGATGCATAGGTGTTTCTTTGCTGATCGCTTATGAAATCATTTGCAAATGCAAACTCGCAATGCTTACATTCCGTTGGAGGAGTTCAAAAGGGCTTGCTTAGACTGGTTTGTACTTTTCTCCCCCCCCTCACCCCCCCAAAATATTTACCCAGCTCTAGCACACTGCAGCTCTCTTGTGACTTGGCAAATTTCCCCCGGGGCCCAGTGTCAGGTTATGTGCTGTGTCTCCTGAGAGATGCAGCCCCAGAGGAGCAAGTGCAAAGGTGTAATTCCTAGAGTCTGGGCTGCCAAAATCGCCTCTGGCTTAACAAGCCTCCTGGGAGTCATTCTGATGTCTGGCAGTCTTACCCAGGCTGCCTATGAGCAGCTCAGACTCTCCATAGTATTGAACGTCGTGGGGATGCTCTCTCCTTCTCCTGGCATACCTTTTACGCTGAGGTCTGTGTGTGTATAAGGGGCAACATAGGGTTGCTTATGTCAGCCCTATGCTTCTCCTGCACCTGGGGAATTCTCCTCCTGGCCCATTGTGGCTCCCTGCTGGGCGGTGTGTGGGCCAGAATCCATCCCTCACTTTTCAAAATTATGGGAAAGTCCAAATTAATGAGGCAAGTGAGATCAAAATAAGATCTTTTGTATCTATCAGCCAAAAACCAACGCTCACTGTTAAACTTAGATGCACAACTGATGTGTGTGATATTTAACTTTTATAGCAAAGGAGAACAAAAAAAATAAATAAAAAATCATGTTTTTACCAGTGCAGCTTAGATCTGTCCGCCAAATTATTTCTCTTGTTTTCTCTAGGTATAATAATAGGATTGACGTTTCTAATACTCGTCGTAGTTGCAGGGGTTGCCTGTTGCATTGTTTCTAGAAAAAAAGGTAAGATTAACGGAGTGAAAATAACACAGATGAAATTAAATGAATAATAAGCTTAGATATACAAATGCTAGTCTCCTAGCCACAATATTCAATATGTATTTGGGGTGAAATTCTTCCCTGCATGGAAGGCTGGCATGAGACCTGTGCACCGCTGAAGCCCCATATAATCCCTCGTATCTGGGACACAGGCCTGTAAGCCTCCAGTGTTCCCGTGAAATCAAGCACCTGTGCAACAAAAACTGCCACTGCAGTTTGTAAAGTATTTTGTGCTGCGTGATATAATTACACGACATTATTAATTGTTATTTTACTTAATTATTATGGCTATGATTTTGATTGTGATCAGCACTCTTTGTCCTTTCCGCTAGAGAATGCTGATTATTTAATTCAGTTGATTTTTTGAGAATCCCCTTTGTCTACTGCACCTGTCCCAGACTCTAGCCACATTGCAGAGTGACTATAAAGCAAATGTTTGATAACATTTTAAAACCGGGTACACAACCAGGTCTGCTCCACCCACAGATGATACAAGAACAAAATAAAATGCAGACCCCTTGCAGGCAGCATATCCCCGTTTAGTTAAAGTGCAGCTCTTTTGGAATTGATAGTATTTGGTGTTTTGTTTTTAATTTTAACTTTCTTTTCTCACTTGCAACCTGATTTGGTTCTTGTCCAATTGAAGCTCCAGATTTGGTGAGTATCAGTTCATCCCTTCTTCCCTGCTGCCCCTTTTCATTAATTAATGTTTTATAAATTCATGCAAGATCAATATCTGTTAATATGATAAAAATGAATAGCTGAAAAATATAGCTGGAGAGATAAGGGGAGCGGGTTGCCCCCTGAACAAGTTAGAGCCTCAGATGCACCAGTTTGCAATGGCCTTGTGGTGGTCAGTATGCCAGTGGGATCACCAGGGGATCACTAAAGGTTTCTTGAGGGCCGCTGAGAACAGACCTAGGACATAAGGGGTCAGACCATCACCTGGTGTAAATTGTTGTGGCTCCATTGACATCAGTGAAACTATGCCAATCGGCAACCGCTGAGGATCTGACCCAACCATGCTTTATTTCAAGCTACTATCTTCTTTTCTGGTTAAAAGTTTCACAAAATTTGACCTTTTGCCATTTTCTGTAACCGTCCCAACCCTTCTTGTGTCCTCAGAAGCAGCCTGACAAGAGGCCACGCGATTCAGGAGCACAGAGCGCCAGTAGTCCTAAGCAGGAGGAGCAGCATCTCTTGGAAACTCCTGGGTCAAGCAGCAGCTCTTTGGACAACACCGCTTCAAGAATCAGTGTCATAAGTATTAAGAACACAGAAAAGAAAGAAACCGAGGGAACTCAGCAGAGCCGTATGACCTCAGGAGGTTGTAATCATCACAGTGGAGCCAGACCCGGCTCTGCAAGCTCAGGTAAGAGTCTGTCGAAAGGTGAACACCAGAGCCCTCCGGTATTTTATTATCATCCTTTTTTAACCGAGAGAGTGCCACAAATGTGAATAGAATTTTAAGATCCAAGACAAGCGGTGGGAGTGTATGGAGACGGTCGATGAGAAGGAGGGACTGCTTGAAGAAATAGGATTGGGAGACTAGAGACGCCGGACAGGTGTGGACAGAATGTTGTGGGCTGTTGCTCCTTTGGGCTGAGCAGTTAGCCAATATCTGGGGCCCTTGCAGGTTTGTTTCTGTTAGGAAGAGAAATTGATGATACGAGTCAGCGTTTTCTTGGATGCAATCCTGTTTATTGAGGAAAAATGTACACAAAGTCCTGTCTCCCTGAACACACTAGGATCAAACGATAGGCAGTTTCCTTGTTCGCCATTTCCAAGTCTGCCCCTTCAGCCATTTCCATGCCCAACAAGTTCTGTCCCTGTTCCCTCTCAGGGCCATGCTCACAGCCGCCTCCCTCATTGTCTGCCGGCTTTCTCCTAAAAACACCCACCCCCACACCCACCCACCTTCAATCAATATTCTAGCAGGGAACCCCTCAGATCACATGGCTTAGCTAATCAGGCTTCGCCATGTGGCCTAGTGCCTTGGGTGGTAGCCTCCTATTGTTTCCAGCTATCACTACATAAAGGGACATTTAATTGCTCCTTCCATTTAGCCTGAAAGAAGGGGACCCATTAGCTTTTAACCATGTCCTTGGTTGTGTATATAGCAAAGTACGGCTTGTTGGCAGACGTTAACATCTTCCAGAAAAAACACAGGCAAAGGGGGCAGCATAACTGTAGGTATTAAACTGCTGAGAGTGGGAAAAGGAGACAAGGGGGCAATAAAGCAAGAAGACTGGGAAGAGTATAGGGAATAAGATGGGGAGTAGGGGGGAAAATTCAACAAATATCCAGGGAGTCAAAAATGATCCAATGACTCTGAATGTTTTTTGTTGCCCCAATATCTTTACGGATTATATCCAAAGAATCAGTGTTAAAAGAACATTAAGGTTGCAAGGGCAAGCACTCAGCAGTTAGGAAATTCCAGAATTAAGGTTGCTTGTGCAGAATTAAGGTTTCCCTAACCTAATTATTGAAAACAGTGGAACTATTTTAGCTGAAATTTCCCCCCAAAATTCAGCCTGGGGCAGACGCGTGGCATGAAAATTTTAGTCCAAACAGTTAAAGCTTGGCAAAGCTATAAGCCACTGAAAACAGGACCTTCTAATGGAAAGTGTTTTGGTAACCTTGACTCTAGGGGTGTGTCTACAGCAAACAAACAGCCACGGCTGATCTGTGCCAGCCGGCTTGGGCTTAGGAACTGTTTAATTGCTATGTAGCTGTACAGGCTGGGGCTGCAGCCCGGGCTCTAGGACCCTGCAAGGTGGGAAGGTCCCAGAGCTCTGGTCGAGCCTGAACATCTGCACTGCAGTTAAGCAGACTCTTTGCCTTAGCCCTGCGAGTCTAATTCAGCTGGTTTGGACCAGCCTCGGGTATTTAATTGCAGTGTAGACGTACCCTAGGTGGTGCTACCAACTCTGCCTATAGTAAGAGAAGGAAGGAGATTCAATCTACATAGTCTGTTTTAAAACTTACAATTTTTTTCTTAAGTCATTAAACTGGATAAAGAATCTTATCCTGCTGTGAGTTTCACTCTTCCACTTTTCATTTGTTTTGTTTTCTGTTTGTTTCACAGAGCATTCTGCTAGTGGAGGAACGCAGGTGAACGTAACTTGTATTGTTAACCTGTGTAATTCAAACCACAACCCACAATTTCCGGAACCGACCACTTCAACCACCACGGATTATGAAAATGTTCCCTACTGCACTCCAACAGAGGAAGAAATTCCCCTTTCTAAAGAAGAAAACCCCTTGAAAAGAAAATCTGAAATTCAAATCTCAGTGGAAGCTGCAGATAGTTTACCTCCAAGCTTACTGTTTCCAGACGGAAAGCCATTTCCTCTGAGTGTTCAAGATGCAGGGATGAAAAATAGCTAAAGAAGATGACAGATCAGATATTGACCAATAAAACTCTAAGCAGCTTTTGATCTGCTAAAATAAACAATGGGTTAAGAATAGCATTCTTATGGAGACTTAAAATCTAAAATGTATAAAGATATGGAGGGATGCCGAGCCCTTTAAAAATGTTTTAACCCTCTGATATGTAATGGCTTTAAAAGTTGAAGGAAAATCTTTGCAGAAGTCAGTGTTATTTTTAAAAGCATTCTTTTTCTTTTCAATTTAGTAGTTTATCCATCAAATTGTCACGTGCTTCCTTCTGTCATGCCTTTACCACATATCTTGATCCTGGCCTAGAGGGATCTCCTCTGCAGCTGAAAAGGAAGTGTATTCAGTCTTTGTGCTCATTCAGTCATCTGCTGAGTCTGCCTCCAGGATGCCATTTAGGGATAATGATGGGATTTTTGATTCTCACATCCCATCGGCTAAGAACGGGACTAAGACCAGCATTCCATGAGAAATGAGTTAGTGACCAGCCATCCAATGCTATTGATTTAGTCTCATGTGTTTATGGCAACAAATTATACCATTTCCCATCTGATCCACCCACCTCTCAAAAATATTCACTTTTTTTTAAGGGATGTATGCTTCAGATCTTTCCTTCTGTCCTTGATATTTTTTGCTGCTGTTTTCTCTCTTTCTCTCTCATACCGTGGAGGCATATCTGTTCTCTAAGATTTATGTGTATTAGAGGGTAAAATCGTCTACATGAGCTTTTATACTAGATTACAACTCTTCTATTCAACAATAGCAAAAAAATGCACTTATTTTTGTGCCAGCTGTACATATTTAATATACTTTTTTTAAAAGAAATATATTTTAAGTAGAACCTGTTACATTGAAGTAGGTAATTGTCAATCTAAGGGCTGTCATCTTTGTGCCATGGTTGATTTAATGCTGTTAGCTGGCTGACTCTTACGTCATTTCTTGAGGTCTGTCGGAGAGAACTGTGCGTGCCAAATATTTTCCTCTACATTTCAATTAATAACGGTGAAGACAAATATGTATCTCATCCTGGTTGACCCCAGGAAACGGTGAAAGGCTGAATGGAATGAAACCTCAGAACCACAAAATCAGCTGTTTGTGATTATATTGTTCTCTAGTAGCTGATCTGCGAGGAGATTGTACTCCCTACTGACAACTAATGGAGACTTTTCTTTAGCGCCGGTGGCAGAAGTCTGCGCTTTTGAAGCTCAAATTAACCAGCAACTGTGGTGTCTGCATTCAAACATAAATTTGTTACAAAGTGCCTGAGTCAGATTCCAGCTGACTCAGATTCAGGCTAAGTCAAACTGGGGTCTGAATTCTGTCCTTATTAAAACACCTGCAAATCTTATTGGAGCTGTTCAAGAGTAACATAATGCAAAATTTATTCCAGAGGCTTTAGGCTGAAGAAGAATGCCTTTACGTAGCTTTCATTCAACAGCTGCTGAAGAGCAAGTATGCTTTACACTTTCACCTAAACTTTCAGGATTATCCTCTGTGGCTGTGGAGGTTAGAGGTGAAACATGCTGAACTATATTTTAACTTGCATTTGAGAGTATGCTCTGAAATGACTTAGCATATGGAAACACTGAAATTAATCCAAAACCACAGAATTTATGCTTAATAGGACTTGATTGCACAGCAGGCTCTTTCCCGCAATGTGCTGAACATCTGTTGCTCATCACGTCCAAGAACTGGGTCTGTATTGAAACAGCAGCCCAAAGGAAAAATCAGGGGTTCAGCCATGGCAGTTAATTTTATGGGCTCTTCATATTATGGTGGCAGAAAAATCCTATGTATTCATGTAAATATTATCAAAGCAATTTTTTAACCTGTTCATAGCTGTGTATAAAAAAGTAAAACTGGTTTTATTTTTATAATTTATGTATGACTTGAACTCTCCTGTTCTGTTCTTTCTATTAAACAAAATGCCTTTACGTTTTCTTTGTTTTAAAAAAATTAAAAAACCTACTATTTGTTGATTTCATTTGCATCCCCTTAATTTCTGTATCCAAAACATTACTTTTGGCTCTTTTTATCATTATTGCCTAACTAAAGCAGGTTTGATCGAGTTCTTCTTCGAGTGCTTGCTCATATCGATTCCAGTTAGGTGTGCGTGCGTGACGTGTGCACGGCCTTCGGAGAATTTTTACCCTAGCAACACCCGGTGGGTCGGCTGTTGAGCCCCCTGGAGTGGTGCCTTCATGGCGCTCGATATACGCTGAGAGCGGGATCGGTGCCGCGGCTCGACCGACAGTGCCGATGGGTGTATTAGAGCCGGCTTGCCCCGGGACTGTGCCGCACGTACAGGAACCGGTGCCTTGGAATGAGGCTGAGGGGATGCCAATGCTGTCATGGCAATAAGATCCCATGCAGCTGCAAAGGTATCCGGGGTGGATGGCAACTGGACCTCAATCATGCTCCGTGTCTGGGAGTCCAGAGGCACCGGACTTGACGGCTCTCCCCTCGGGGCTGGAGTCAACGGTGCCGAAGCTGTAGACTGTGCCCCTAGACGCTCCCCTGCGGGACGCGTCTCCATGGGGGGTTCCAGAGAGGCTGGTCTCTGAGGAGGTGGGCTACCCTTTTCCGGCTTCCGGTACTGTTTCTGGCCAGGAGAATGGGAGCGGTGCCGGGGAGCGTCGGAGCTGTGAGTCTCGGTCAGAGTCCAACCGCGGTGCCACTCCAACCGCTGCCGCCGGGGCGCGCTGCGCACTGAGGTGCTCAGTGCCAGATCTTGGCGCGCTGCAGGAGGCTGAGGACTAATGGCCGCCTCCATGAGGAGCTGTTTTAAATGAAAGTCCCGCTCCTTCTTAGTCCGAGGACTAAACCCTTTGCAGATCCTGCACTTGCCTGAGGTGTCTGGGGGAGTCTCATCAAGCAGACAAGCGTCATGGGGGTTGCCCGTTGGCATGGGCTTAGAGCAGGAACCGCAGGGCTTAAATCCCAGAGCCTTGGGCATGAGCCCAAGAGAAAAATGGGGAAGGGGGGGGAACCCAACCTGGGGGGGAACCCAACCCTACTAATACTAGTTATAACTATCAACAACTATAACTATTGATTGTAAACTGTGCTAGGGAGAGTGGAGAGCAGCGAAGCAGGACTCCACCGTTCCAACGACCATCACGGGCCGTAAGAAGGAACTGAGGAGGTGCTGGGTTGGCTGGGGTATATATCGAGCGGCAGGAAGGCGCCGCTCCAGGGAGCTCCACAGCCGACCCACCGGGTGTTGCTAGGGTAAAAATTCTCTGATAGCCGTGCACGCGGTGCGCACACACCTAATTGGAATGGATATGAGCAACACATGTCGAAGAACAACAGTTACAAAGGTGAGTAACTGGTTTTTTTCAGTCTCATCTACCACTTTCTAAATGTTGGTACTAGTTTAAAATGAAGTAGGATGTAGTAAAAAGCCATTCATCTTGAATTTAAGAGAAGATGAGTGAAGCTGCGATCCTGCAAGCTGTTCTGTGCCCTATTCCTACCCAAACTCCCATTGACTTCCGTGGTGGACGTGTGTAGCTGTGTGGAACTCATTGCAGGATGAGGGGCCTTAGTGATTATATCAAAAGATACAGTGTATGGAATGGTGCACAAAAATCCCAATGTCCTGTACTGCATGTAAACAGGCCTATATAAATATTTATTACAGCCAACTCTTGATGACTGGCCTACAAAGAGGCTGCAAATCCTTATGCTACTGCCACCTTGTGGAGAATCTCCTTTTATTTCCTGTTGGAGAGGTCTGTGCTTTTACGGGTTTAAGAACCAGAATTCTATTTCCTGCTTCTCGCAATGTTGATCAACAGAAAGTTGTCCCTATGTATATGGCCACAACAAATTGTTACAAAGGGTCACTGCCCCGTAAGACTGATTTACATGTAAGTTACTTAGGAGTGTCATAAAGAGTTACTTGCTATATTTTATCTGAAATTGAAATTTTACAGGAGTTACCAGTTGTGCTATGGGTTACTCTTTTAAGATTCAGTCCTGCAAAGTGCTGAGCAATATGGCCTGATTCAGTAAAGTACATGTTTAACTATAGGCTCATGAGCAGTCTCATTGAAAGTCGTGGGAGTCTCTGTTGTCTTCAGCAGGCATTGAATAATGCCCTTAGTGTTTTGTTTGGGGGACGATGGAGGAAATATCCTTTCAATACAAAGCCATGCTAAAGTAGGGTTTCAACCATTATCAGATATTAACCTTTTGTTTCACTTGTTTTCTTGAGGACACATTATTGTGTCTAAAACATGTGCCTTATGTGGCATCTATTGACTCATGACCATTATCAAATCAAGAGCTATTAAGGAACATTTGATCATACTGAAAATCTTTTGAAGCAAAAAAACATACTTTCACTCACTTTTTAAATTGTATCACATTGTGTGGTGGCCTCCCTTACAAATAAAATTTACCCTGCATTTTCCATGGCTATCCTTTGTCCTTGAAATGTAGGTGGTTCCACTGGTACACTCATTGATGAACATCTCTATTACACACTCAATGGTCTACAACTCACGTGATAAGGGTATATGCCTCTGGTACACACTTAGTGGTTGCACTGGGTGAGTTCCTGTTGTCTGGGACTTGCAATATTTATTAATTTTTTCTAATGTGCCAGCTGCTGGAGTCATAGAATCATTGAACTTGAAGGGACCATGAGAGGTCATCTAGTCCAGTCTCCTGCACTCAAGGCAGGACTAAGTATTATCTAGACCATTCAAGACAGGTGTTTGTCCCACCTGCTCTTAAAAATCTCCAGTGATGGAGCTTCCACAACCTCCCTAGGTAATTTATTCCAGTGCTTAACCACCCTGACAGCTAGGAAGTTTTTCCTAAATGTCCAGCCTAAACCACCCTTGCTGCAATTTAAGCCCATTGCTTCTTGTCCTATCCTCAGAGGTTAATAACAGTTTTTCTCCTCCTTGTAACAACCTTTTGTGCACTTGAAAACTGTTATCGTGTTCCCTCTGTCTTCTCTTCTCCACACTAAAGAAACCCAATTTTTTCAATCTTCCCTCATAGGTCATGTTTTCTTGACCTTTAATCATGTTTGTTGGTGTTCTCTGGACTTTCTCCAATTTGTCCACACCTTTCCTGAAATTTGGTGCCCAGAACTGGACACAATACTCCAGTTGAGGCCTAATCAGCATGGAGTAGAGCGAAAGAATTACTTCTCGTGTCTTGCTTACAATATGCCTGCTAATACATCTCAGAATGATGTTTGCTTTTTTTGCAACAGTGTCACACTGTTGACTCATATTTAGCTTGTGATTCAGTATGACCCCCAGATCCCTTTTCGCAGTACTCCTTCCTAGGCAGTCATTTCCCATTTTCATGTGATAACATCAGAATCTTGAGCTTTCATTGATAAGTAAGAGTATTGTTACCCTTATGGGTGGGAGACCAGCTTGAAAATGGGAAATGGAAGGGCTCAAAAACCAAAGAGAAAATAGATCAACAAACCACGCTATTATGTTTTAAAATCTCATTATATTTAAGCCAGTCTGATGATGATGGGGAGGGGGGGGGGGAGTATGATGACTCTATGATGTCTGAATGCTTGGTGATGACGGTGGCACTGTAGTGGGTGCACACCTGTGGGCTGCACACACCGCTCGCTGCAATGCATGGTGGTAGGGTGACCAGATGTCCTGATTTTATAGGGACAGTCCTGATTTTTGGGTCTTTTTTCTTATATAGGCTCCTGTTACCCCTCACCCCCTGTCCAGATTTTTCACATTTGCTGTCTGGTCACCCTACATGGTGGTGTATGGCCAGGGGGAGGCACAAGGCACCTGGGTGGGCCAGGAGGTGGCCAAGCCCCACCATTCTCTCTAACCCCAGGGCTCACTGGAAAGCCGCCGGGCTCAAAAGGGCTGCAGCGGGGCAGGTGTTTTCCTTACAGGGGCCTCGCTGGGCTCAACGTTCTGCCAGGCCCGGGGGGGGGCGGGGACGACGAGCGATTGCTCGGCCCTCTACAGGCAGGCGGCCCCATCCGTTAGCTCCGGCTCGATTGGCGCAGGCTCCGGCTCACTCACTCGCAGGCCCTGCTCCCAGAGCGCCATTGAGGGGACAGGGAGCGAGGCAGGTACCTGCGGGGGGCGGGGGGAGGCGCCGCTAACGGCTTCGGGGAGCGGGCCGCGGGGGATGCTGCCTGGGCTCCTGTCCCTGTGAGTGACCCCCCCCCAGGCGCCTGGTCTTCAGAGAATGACCCCCCCCACCCCGGGTCCGCGCCCTGAGTGACCCCCCCCACACCCCGGCCCCCCTTAGCTCCCCAGGGGCCTGGCCCGTAGAGAGTGGCCCCCCAACTTCTCCCTTAGCTCCCCTGGCTCTCAGAGTGACCCCCCCCCGGGGTCTGGCCCTGGCTGTGATTCTCTGGCTCCCTTGCTGGGCCCTGGCACCACTGCCCCCTGTTACCCCTCCCTCCAGCTGCCCCCCCAGAAGCGCCCTCATAGTGACCCTGTCACCCCAGCCTCCTGGGGCAGCCCCTGCTGTGCTCTTAGCAAGGTGACCTTTCCCTGCCTCATGCCAGTAGCACCCACCCGTTCCTAGGGGTTTACTGCTGTCTGCTCCCCAAACAATGCCCCCACCCACCCACCCCCTCGGACTGTGTAGCCAGAGTCCAGCAAGGTATTCACCCCCTCAATAACCCCTTACACTGACCCGGCCTGCC